TCTGATCACTGTCAGTGGCAGGGGGCTTCTTCCTGCTTTCCCTTTCGCCTCCCTGCATTGTGCCTACATATGCAAATTAACCGCCATCTTGTTGGCAGTTAATTTGCATATAGCCCTGATTAGCCAATGAAAACGGTATTGGTCGTACGCCAATTACCATTTTTGTCTTTTATTAGATAGGATATCCTCTAGCACACTGCTGCATATCCCTAAGAGTATCCAATGTGAAAAGAGCCATGAAATATGATTATGTATTCAACAATGTGCTATATACCAAATTCTGTTGGGCTGATATGAGTACAGTGGCCTTTTAGTTGCATCTGAAACTCTGAGCGAAGCCATGGTTATGTGAAGCCAATAGATAAGAGAGACTTGACTATATAAAATCTCATGGGCCTCTCTGACTTATATTCCCAGGTACTGCAGAAGTTGGGGAAAACTGTGGAAACCAAAGATGAACGGTTTGAACAAAGTGCCAACAACTTTTACCAACAACAGGTAATCTGGAGGGTGGCGAAGGGGAGCTTAGAGGGCTAAGTGGTAGAGGAACAGCATGTTCTTCAAATCAGAAAGCATTCCTAGTAACTCACCACCCACGCTTGCACTCAGAGTGCCCCACTACCCACCTGCCAGGGGAAGGAGCCCAGCGCAGCAGGCAGGAGGCTTCCACGCTCTCCTCCCGTGCCATGACAGGGTGGAGCCGCCACATTGCTCCTGAGACAGGGCAGAAACAGGGAGGCGCCTGGAGAAGGCGGGACCAGCCCGAGGCAACTTGAGGAACTGAGGGCGGGCCTTGAAGCAGCCAGAAACAGCCAGAGGGATCAGGGGCTAAGCCCGGTGTGCTGGGATCCTAGTCAGTATATAAGAGGATAAAAAAGCTGTGGTACATTTACACAATGGAATACTATACAGCTGTAAAAAAACAAGGATCTCTTACCCTTGAGACATCATGGATAGACCTGGAAATTAGTATGCTTAGTGAAATAAGCCAATCAGAGAAAGACAAATATCACATGATCTTATTTATATGTCTTATTTATATGTGGAAGCTAATGAACAAAATAAACTGACAAATGAAATAGATCCAGAGACATGGAAGCATGGAACAGACTGACAGATCTCAGATGAAAGAGGAGAGTTGTGGGGAGAGGGGAAAGGAGATTAACCAAAGAACTTACATGCATACTAGAGGCCCAGTGCATGAAATTTGTACACTGTGGGGAGGGTCCCTCAGCCCAGCCTGTGTCCTCTCACAGTCCGGGACTCCTCGGAGAATGTCCACCTGCCAGCTTAGGAGAGTGTTCCTAAGCTGGCAATTGGACATCCTTCTTGCAGTCTGAGAGCCCTCATACCTTACTGCCCATCTGCTTGCTGCTCCTTACAACTTGGCTCACTGCTCCTTAGCGCTGCCGTGGAGGCAGGAGAGGCTCCCACCTCTGCTGCTGTGCTCACCAGCCATGAGCCAGCTTCTGGCTGAGCAGTGCTCCTTCTATGGGAGCACACTGACCACCAGGGGCCAGCTCCTGCATTGAGTGTCTACCCCCTGGTGGTCAGTGCACATCATAGCGACCGATCGTTCTGGTCATTCCACCATAATGGTCACTTAGACTTTTATTATATGGATATGCATAGCCCATGGACACAGACAATAGTGAGGTAAAGGTCTGGGGTGGGGTGGGAACCAGGTGTAGGAGGACAAAGGGAATAAAATGGGGAACATTTGTAATACTCTAAACAATAAAAATAATTTTTAAAAAAATTACATTATTGACCTCTAAAGATAAGGACTCTTTTAAAATATAATCACCTACCTGGCTGGTGTCTCTCTGGTTACAGCATCAGCCCGAGCACTGAAGGGTCTCAGGTTTGATTCCTGGGCAAGGGCGGGTACCTACCTGGGTTGCAGGTTCGCTCCCTGCCCCAGGTTGGGGCATGTGTGGGAAGCAACCAGTCAATATGGCTCTCTCGTATCAATGTTTCTCTCCCCCTTCTCTCCTCCGCCTCCCTCCCACTCTCTCTAAAAAAAATAAAAATAAAAAAAAGCAATGGAAAAAATACCCTGTGATATATAAAATCACCTAAAATATTTTATTTGCACCTAAAAATATTTTTCTGTAAACATTTACTCATAACAAATCAGAAAGTACAAAAATAAAAAAATTAATTTAAAAATGATTATTTTATACTGTTTTATATCCTTACAATTACTTTGCTATATATGTGTATGATCTCTAAATATATCCACTATAAATAAAAGAGGTTTGCAAAAGTGAAATTATTCCATTTATATGGTTTTATAACTTGCCTTTTTCACTTAACAGAATAACACAAATATCTTTTCAGATAGCTCATGTTGACTATCTCACTAAAACATATGTAAAAAAAAAAGATATGTCTTAGTGATATTGAAAAATATTAGCAATAACTTCTTTTTTTAAAAAATATATTTTATTGATTTTTTACAGCGAGGAAGGGAGAGGGATAGAGAGTTAGAAACATCGATGAGAGAGAAGCATCGATCAGCTGCCTCCTGCACACCCCCCACTGGGGATATGCCCGCAACCAAGGTACATGCCCTTGACTGGAATCGAACCCGGGACCCTTCAGTCCGCAAGTCGATGCTCTATCCACTGAGCCAAACCAATCAGGGCAACAATAACTTCTTAATATCATAAAATATCCAGTCAATGTTCACACTCCCTTAATTGTGTCTTTTTTATAGTTGGTTTACATCAGCAACTGGCTGACATGTTTAACCCTACCAGACCGCTGTACCGATTTTTAGGTTATTTCCACACAAAGGTGGAATATTGGCGCTAGATGAAAAGGTAGATGAAAGGTAGACCTATTTTCTACAATGTCCCTAAGTTCCATCTTATTCTAACCACTTGTTTGCATGTAACTAACATTTTTCTATATCATGTTGGTTTTTTCTCTTTAATGCTCAGGAGCCCAGGTATAGGGGACAGTTAGGTTCAGGGCCTCAGGTCTGGTAGGATTAAATCTCTTAAAATTAAATCTCTTAATCTGTAGGTTTCTAATCCTTCCCTTTGTAGTTTATTTGCTGATGATACTAGGTTGTTTTCCTGCAGTCTAAATTTTGCTGATTGAATCCCCGTGGTATGTTTAACATGTTCCTCTATCACTTGTATTTTCTGAAAATTAATAGTTAGATTTAGAGCCTTGATGAGATTCATATTTTTGTTTTTGTTTCTTTTGGTTGGTGGGAAGAATATTTATTATTGTAGGTGTTCTGTTCTCCCAGCTGGAGGCACATCATTATGGTTGTCTCCTTTTTTGTGTGGTATTAACTGCCATAGGTGCTCATTAACTAGGGAATCAGTGTTTTACATTAAGCTCTCTAAGTAATTGTGATGTAGCAGCTACTCTGAGAACAGCATTTGGCAACCACTGATCTAGTCTAACTCCTCTGAGGGGAAATGCCATCTGATTGAGAGGGAAATGATTTCATCAAGGTAACAGCATAAGAGTTGCAGGATTCAAACTTAAAACCTGGGCTTTTTCCCCTGTACCTCAATAAAGGCCTCTCTGGGCCTCTTCTCAACTCCAGTTATTGTTCTGCTTTCAACTCCAGGGTAAAAAGAACAGGAGTCAGTAAGATGAGACCCACTTGGAAAGGTTTCCAGCTCTTGGCCCATTCTGTCCCTCAGTCCTTTCTCTCCCTCTCTGCCTTATAAGATGGTGCTGCAATGGCAGATGTGTGAATAGAAAGGATAAGAGATGGGATCATCAAGAAGAAAAAGAATATCAGATGGGACAGTTCCCTCAGAATTCTCTCTGCGAGCCGACCAACTAAATGTCACTTGATAGGGAGAATATTTTTGAGAAATGAAATGGAGTTAGATTAGGAACAAGGAAAAACTTTTCTCCTGAGAGAATGCTGCACCTATAGTAACTCATGTTTGAACATGCTTGGAAAGTTCATTTAACAAACATTTATTTCATGAGTGCCTGCTGCATGCGGGCACTGGGCTGGATGCTAGGACTTCACAGATAAGAAACATACCTGCCCTCAAGGCTCTTACAGTTTAAGAAGAAAGAGAGTGATAATACAGTCAGGTCCGAGGCTGGACCTGGAGTGGCTAAGACGAACAGGAGGAAAAGGGACAAGGCCAGAGATTGAAAGTTAAGCATTCTGGACATTGGACCAGTTGGTCACGTGCCCTTTTCCTCATCCACAATCAACTTGTAGGTAAACTTTTTGTTAATAAAAAAAATATCACTCCCAAACTTTCCAACTTGATTTCAAGGCCTTGCACTTGCCTAGGTTCCTAATCAAATTTCCATAGGTAATTTTTCTTTGAGGGCTCCACTTGCTTCCCTCTTTTCCCTCTCTCCAAAACATATTATAAGGGAAGAATTCTTTTTCCCAAGCAGTACTTTAATCCCTTATTTCTGGTAGCTGAGAGCTGCTTCCAAATCATTGCCTTTAAAATCCAATCTAACAATCTAGCTTTTTCTTCCCCCTTCTGGACCTCCATTAGACCAAACACTTTCAGCACTTGCTCAAGGTTGGTCATGCTATTTACTTATTTTGCTGAATGTTTGGGTTTCTCTGGTCCATTTTTCTCCAGCAAGTAGGGAACCCCAGGACTGGGGCCTTCTTTATCCTCACTACCCCAGTCTCCTAGAGAACATAGCTCTGTTTACCTACCTGCTTAGGAGAAGCTTCCAGAGTGAGTGGTTCATTAACTGAGGGCTGGGACTGTTTGTATAGGGATGGGAGGGACTAAACTCAGACTCTTTATAGTGCTGCCAGGAATTTGACAAGGCTTCAGAGAGCAGAAGCGATACAAAGATTTAGAGCTAAACATCGCCTTACCCGGCATTTATAGATGAGGAAACTAAAGCCAGAGAAGCAGAATAACTTGCTAGTTGGTAGCAGAGACAAGTATTTGATTCCCAGACAAGTGAGAACCTGGGGTGATTTAGCCTAGAGACATTTCAGGGAAGACAGGTCAGAGAAATACAATGACATTCAGCACAGGCACTGGGGCGGTGGGGGCTTGCCTGGGGTGGGAATGGCTGGGGGAGGGGGGGCAATTGGGGAAAAAGAAGACATATGTAAAACTTTAGACAATAATAATAATAATAAAATGAAATTCAGTGTTTTTCGCCACCCCACATCCTACAACCACCACTTCATCTCCTTAAAGGAGGGAACAAGAGCATAAAGGAAGAACTTTGAGGAGGCTTGATTCTAAAACACAAAAATGGATTTGGACTTTTGTGAGGTGTGCTGGAGGGCAGAAGGCATTCACATTTTATGGACTATGGTATAAATAGTCCCCCCTAGTATTGAACAGTGTGCATACAACCTGCATGATCATACATGGTAGCCTGATCATTGACCTGGTTTTTTAGGCCATATAATATCCAATGGGATAAAAATTAAGAATTTTATTTATAGAAATTATGTAAGATTTTACCAGCTTTTGTTCCTCACATATGTATTTTTTCAGGCCAAATCTTCATGGTGAAGTAAAGAGTTGAGTCCGAATTGTTTTCTTTCAAAAAATAAATTTAAATCCTTGTTAATTTCTATAATCCCTAAAACTCTTTCAGAACTTTTTAAAACCTGGGTTATCACATTTGCAAAACTCCCAAACTTATACCTACCTACCATAGCCATGTTTAAAAGGTATTATGGTTGGTGCGTGAGAAGAGATCAACCAAATAACTTATATGCATAACCCATGGACACAGACAATAGGGTGGTGAAGGCCTGGGTGGGAGTGGGGGCGGGCTAGAAGGGGTCTATAGGAGGAAAAGGGGGACCTATTCAACAATAAAGATTTTAAAACAAATATTATGTACATTTAACATGTTAGAGTATTAAACTTTTTTTCTGTTAATGAAAAAGCGAGGAGGAAGTGAGACATCCTTTCTGGTGAATGCTGAGTGTTTCGGAATTTTTTTTAACCGACCAAATTTGTCTCCATAATGCTATTGCAACACTTTCTCACGGTCAACAGTGACCTCCCATTACCAAGTCCAGTAACTTTTACAGATTCTTCCTGCATTCTAACTGCTCTGTAGCATCTGACTCTTTTTGGTAATTTCTCTACTGCTGTCTTTATTCTCCTTTGCTATGACACACGACACAATCCCAGGTCATCCCCCTCTCTGACAGTGTGTTAGACCACCTTGAGACTATCTTTGTTTTCATGTCCCTTGAGCCTGGTAATAGCCCCTTGAGGAGGACTATTAACCTGAAGTATGGTGAAAGGTTTGGACTGGTTTAGAGGAGAGCTCTGGAGGCCAGAAGATAAATGAAATAATTAGTCCAGTTTTCTTTATTTGACTGGGTAGATCTAGATTTTCTGCTAAAATTAAACAATAATGGTCTTTACTTCAAAGATGTACACAAAATTTTAATTTAAGTTGTTAGATAGAATTTTCAGGTTTTCTCCTATAAATTTTTTATAGTTTTGGTATGCTCAATAGCCTACCCAGTAATGAGCACAAGCAAATAAAACAAATGAACTAGTTCACAAGTATGTACTGAATAATGCATCTTAGCTCAGATTCTTCATCACCTGAACTGGTAGGAGGATCACGCTTCTGACCCATGGGCCTGGCCTTTCAGTCCAGTCCCATACTCCTAAAGTCAGGCTCCAAAATGTCAATGGTCCCGCTTCTAACTTCCTTCTTATCTAACTCCTAAAAGCTGGAGTTCACACAGAAGGGAAAGGGTCTCTAAAAAACACCCTGAGGAACAATTGAAGAAACCTGTGAAAAAGACTTGGTACAGGGCATGTGAAAGATCTCTTTAAACATATGTGCAAGAGAAATTATATCTGCCAAGAGTACAAAAGGTGAGATGGTGCCACAATATTGAGTGCCCAGTGGGCTAGTGTAAACAGATGTGCATTCACCGGGCTTTCATTCCACAGTCCATTGATTTACCTGAAGGGTGTTTGCATTTTGTGAAATGCCTCTCCACATTGCAAATGCCATCCTTCTTTGTCTGTACTCAGCTGTTTTCACACAAGGCTCACTGCCCCACAGCAACTATCCACACAGTCAGCAGATGAACTAGAGGTGCTTGTTGCCTGCTGACTTGTGGAGTCTCACCGTTGCTCTGGACTCCTCCGTGAAGAATTGCATGCCACTCATGCCAGTGACCAGACTTATGGCTTATACATTAGTGGTTTATTTAAATTGTATTTTAAGAGATTGAGATGTTTGTTTGGTATGCATTTTAATAATTAGAAATGGCTCTTGTAAACAGGTCATTTATCAAAGAAAGACCTTATAATATGCACCCATGTAATTTTATCTGGCTGGAAATAAACGCATTTTGTAGCAAAAAGAAAAAAAAAAAAACTTTGCCCAGTGGGCAAAAGTTCTGATAGAGCTATTTTAAAATGAAGTTCATCCGCAACAGAAGGTTATGTGAGTTTCCGGTTGCTGGAGGTATTCAAGAAGCAGAGGCTAAATGAACATTTGTCAGAGCTATAACAAAGTAGCTCATCTATTGAGTTGAGAGTTGAACTGCCAAACCTAAATGATACCTTCATCTCCTCCTCCCTTCTTCTGTTTTTAGAGGGAAGAGACCTAATCTCTGCTTGGGAGTCTTAGCATAAAAAGTGAGAATTCAGACACAGAAGCAAAGATCGAATCAGGCAGATAGAACTTTAAGTGAGGACACTGGGGTTGGAACAGGAGAGTTCACACAGAAGGGAAAGGGTCTTCAGAACTTTCGTAGGAAATGTTAATGATGAGGGTCCTTGGAAGAACGTCTAAAGCAGGAGGCTGACGGAAGGGAAGGGTAAAGTGGGCCAAGGCAGAGAAGGACATTAGGGGAGGAGAAGAATGGCCTGTGTGAGGGAGCAGAGAAGGAAGAGGGTCTGGTGTCTGCAGAAGATGGTAGCAGTTTACCCAGAGAGGAAGGCATAAGCCAGAGGATCACTGAATTTCAACCAAGAAACTTAGGTATAGGCTCTTGTTCACTGGAAGGAAGGACATGGGAAAGAAGACATACCAATGCAGTGGGAACAATTGCCCCTTAAAACCTGCCCCAAAGAGACAACCTTCAACTTCTTGGTAAAGAGAGTAAAAGCTAGTTTACATTTGCAAGTGTTTGAAGAAATTCAGGATTGATCCCTGCTTTTAAGCTACTTTTATACTTTGACCACTGCAGCGTCTTTCCACATATATCTCTTTAGTCACCAAAGGCATTTCTCTTTCAGGCAGAGGGCCTCAAGCTATACAAGGAGCTGAAGAACTTCCTGAGTGCAGTCAAAGGTGGGTATTGCAGCACCGGAGAAAATGCAGAGGCTTTATGCAGCTTCGGCAGGTTTGGGGGATGGGGAAAAACCCAACCGACTCAGGGTTTTTATCGCTTGCTTGCTTGCTTCTGACTCCTGGAACTTGGTGGGCCAAGGAAGAGTAACTTTTTCTATCCAGCCCCAGCCAGCTTCCCTCACTGATAACCCAAACCTTCTCAGTTTATCCCCCTGATATGCCTGTTACCCGTATGATTATTCCAAACTACTTTTGGGAAACTTTATGGAGCTCTCTCCTTTCAGTAATGCATGAAAGCTCAAAGAGAGTGTCAGAAACCCTGCAGGAGATCTACAGCAGTGAGTGGGACGGTCATGAGGAGCTGAAGGCCATTGTAGGGGTAAGTGTTCCGGGCTTTCCAACTCTTCCCAACTCACTCCTGCCCTCATTTCAACATCACCTTAGCGTCTCCATCAAGCAAATAGGAAAACAAAGGAGCCAGCCCTAGCCGGTTTGGCTCAGTGGATAGAGCATCGGCCTGCGGACTGAATGGCCCCGGGTTTGATTCCGGTCAAGGGCACGAGCCAGTTCACATTGTTCATTTGTATAGTCTCAGTCACAGGTAGAAGAAAAAACTGCAACTATGAAGGTAGAAACAAGTTTTTCCTAATCTGTGGACTCTCTGTTTTTGACCCTTTTCCCCTCTTTAAAACCTTATGGAAGGTTTCATGAAACCTAACTTCATGTAATTGTTTACTCCCAAACTTACCTATCCTTCAAGCACTAGAGTCCAATACTCTGACCATCTATTCCTGTTTTTAATCCCTGAATGTATGTCTAGCCTTTTATAGGGCAGTTCCTTGGGGAAGGGCTGCTTCTTCGTCTGATTCTTCCCAGTGCTCAAACAAGGAAGTCCGCTGCAGAAAGACTTGGGGTATTTCCCTGGTATGCAGTTGTTGAGAAGTGGAGCCCTCACAACTCCCCTTTGCCTCTGTCCCACAGAATAATGATCTCCTTTGGGAAGACTATGAAGAGAAACTAGCTGACCAGGCCATTAGGACCATGGAAAACTATGTAGCCCAGTTTGGTGAAATTAAGGTACTCACTGGATTTACACAATCAGGGATGGGTTATGAGTGGCCCATATAAGAGACCATATTGGGTTAAACTTGTAAGTAGAGTTAGAGCCCGTGGTTAGGAACAAAGTTGAGTAGGTTAGGAGAAGGATTAAAGTTGAGGGTTAGTCAAGAGGTTAGGGTGGAGGGTTAAAGGTAGTGTGGAGGTTATGTTTAGACTTAGATTTCAGTGAACTAGATTTGGACTGATTTTAAACTAGATCCAGGTTAGAGCATCCCTTTTAGTTGTTTGAAACCGCTAATGAGACTAAAAGATGTTTATGGTAGAGAAGCAGAAGGAGTCATAATAGTTATCTGCAAATATTAGAAAGTCTGTTAGTTTAAAAAGGAAGTGAACCTGTTCTAAACAGTTCCAGAAAGCAGAATTAGAATTCATTCAATTAATATCACCTAGTCTGCCAGGCACTAATTTTAGATTAATAGGAAGAAATGAGAGGGAGCCTTAATTTTCCCATAGTTAGAGCTTTCCCAAAACGAAGTAAAATGGAATATACTATAAGATAGTGGGTTGTCTATTCTCTGTTCAAACAGAAGCCAAATTACTTCTTAATTTAGTAATTGTAGAGATAGTTCATGTATTGCATTGGAACGTGGACCAAATAATTGTTAATATCCTTTCAAATTCTGTGATTGAAAGAATGAGACGGATCAATGACAGTATACTTTATAGTTTGGATCTTTGTTTCACAGTAGGTAAAAGTGGTTTAGATGTAAATTTTTTATACTGGAAGAGGAATCTGAGCAGAAATTCCATTTGAATCCTCAGTGGTCATAATATTTTTATTGTGCTTTAGGATTTTCAAAGCACTTCATATTCAGCATTTGATCTTTAAAATAACACCAAAAGACAAATAAGGCTACCGAGGCTTCAAAAGAGATGGGCCTTGCCCTCGATCACAAGGCTAATCAATGGCAGTGTTGGGCATAAAATCCAAAACTCCTGCCTTTCAATTTCATAGGATTCTCAAGACCACTTATCCCAGAGGCTGAACTAGTTTCTAGTGAGTTCGTAGAACTAGTTTCTACTGAATTCGTAGGAAATGTTAATATTTAATGCAGGCCTCCAAGTGTGGGAATGCCCTTTATTTCCCCCTGAAAACTCCCATTCTTTCCAGATAAGGGAGATCCCTTGGGTACAAAAGGATATTAGAACTTGAAATTTGGTAATAGGACTCAGGAATTTTGCCTCTCTGTTTGATACTCTGTTACCTACTTCCTGGCCACTGAAGAATATCAAGGCTTTTTCTCATGATTCTGGGTTAGGAAAGAATTGCCAAGAGGGGTCGGAAACTCGTGGACTATGACAGTGCCCGACACCACCTGGAGGCGGTGCAGAATGCCAAGAAGAAAGATGAGGCCAAGATTGCCAAGGTAAAATAAATAAATAAATAAATAAAATAAAAATAAAAAAGCCTAGTAAAGCCTCCCCAGTCACACTATGTTTAGGAAATAATAAATTCAACCTCCAGGGTCCTGAAGGAAGTCCCTGTTTCCTCTGACACCGATGCTCTAAGAATAGCCAGAGAGTGAAGGCTGGGGAGGGCATGGCTCTGAGGAGAGGCATGGTTCCAAGTAAGCCTGGTCCCTGAAAGGAGAAAAGCAGCAGCGTCTATCCTGGGGCTCAGGATTGAGGGGAATTGTCCTGTCTCTTTTACCAACCAGGCAGATGAAGAGTTCAACAAAGCCCAGCTTGTGTTTGAAGACCTGAACCAAGAACTACTAGAGGAGCTACCTGTTCTTTATAATAGGTAATGACTAAGATTCTGGAAAGTGCTGTCACCTCTTGAAAAAAAAGCATCCAAGAGTAGGTTGTAGCCTCAGCCTGGCTAACTTGTGTAATATTAGGCAATATTATCTCTCTAGACATTGGTTTCTTCATATGCAATACAGAGATAACCATCCTTGCCCTGCCAGCTTTTCCGGCTTTAAAGACAAGATGCTTGTTGAATAGGAGAGAGCTTGCAAGTAAAGTGCTGTCTTCATGCACAGTAAGGGTGTCTGGTTTCATGCCACAAGGATGGATTGTTTTAAACAAGCGTGGTTTGTGACCATCCAGATTTACATAGATAAATCATGGGATGATTATTTCCATTAATGAAGATGTCTTTGTTTCACAGTAGTAAAAGTGCTTTAGATGTAAATTTTTTACACTGGAAGAGGAATCTGAGCAGAAATTCCATTTGTATCCTATTTTCTTTTCACTGTACAAGCTATGCTTTAATGCAGTTGCAGCCATTGTATTTCATATTGTCACTTAATATTAGTTTACATGTGATGGAACCTTTTTAATAACTACATGTATTCTAAAACATTATAAGACTTAATTTAAAAAGAAGTGAAATTTAATAGTTTCTTGAAATGTAAATTTTCCCAATTCAATTCCAGTAGAATTCCATTAATGTACATATAGCTTCACAGAAGTTCAATATTGCATAATGAGAAAGAATAACTGCTTATTATAATTGTATTTCTTTTTTATTTACATATAATATTTCCCTTTTTTGTATGTCCTTATATTTATGTAGCACTTTAAAAATTCTTCAAAGCACTTTAATGTCTGCTTCAATACCTGAAGAGCCTGAATCAGATAACTTCATGCAGCTAGAGATCTGTTACACTTTGGTGTCAGCCTGGGCTGAGTGTCTCCTCTGGCCTTCTCACTCCTGAGGGTCAAGTGTGCTCCTGGGCTGGCTCTGGTGAAGCAGATCCCAGAACATCCTGAGTCTTAGGATGTGGGGTGCTTTTCTCTGAGGGTCCTTGGTGGTGGCTGGCTTTGACTAAAGCTCCTACCTTGTGTTTTCAAAAAAAAGACTTTCTTTACCAACCCTTTACCTGAATGTTTGTTGTTTTGCCTCCTGATAGTCGTATTGGCTGTTATGTGACCATCTTTCAAAACATTTCCAACTTGAAGGATGTCTTCTACAGGGAAATGAGCAAGGTGAGACACAGCTGGTCAATTTAGACATCTCAGGGGATTTTTGTAGTAAATATGAAAGTAGTCCTAATTTACATAATCATTAGTATCCATATCAGCACCACAGATTTTTACCCTTTTCTCATGATGAAACAAAAGCACTTGATTAAACTGTGTTGACCATATTAAAGCATAAATCCATATCAGAGGGTCCTTTCCATCCCCGTTAACAAGTGAATAATAGCATCAAAACTTGAACTTCAGATGAATAAAGGAGGTTAGGCCTATGGAAGGAACAGCTGAAATGGGAAACTAAGTAGTGAAATATCTATCTTTGGTTGCTACAGAACAAAGAGGACAGTGTTTAAGCACCAATTTCTCTGGTAGTTCATTGGTCTTGAATAGGGCCAATCCTACTCAGTGACATGCAGGCACAGAACTGACCTCATGGAGTCTTTTCTAGTCCTGGGATTCCAAGACTCTTAGCTATCATCAACTACATTCACATCCAGATGCACACATGTTCCGCTCCACAGTTATTTTGGCTAAATTATGATTTGCCTAGTTAATATTACCATGAGTTTTCATGCCCTGGATCACCTGAGAAGCTAGAATCTCAAACATCAAGGACCAGCCTTAAAAGCTGCCAGTCTGATGGAAGGAGCAGAACTTCAGAAGGAAGTCAAGGAGGAAGGGGTGGTGTGGGACAGGACCCTGCCAAAGAAATGAAGAGGAGTTTTATAATTAAGGGTGGGAAGGTTTTATTTGGGAGAGCTGTCTGAAAGAAAGTAGAGAAGGGATATGCCAGTCTCAGGTTCCATCTGGCTAGCATCTCTTTCTCTCTTGCTGGCTCTAGCTGAACCACAATCTCTACGAAGTGATGAGCAAATTGGAGAAGCAACATTCCAACAAAGTCTTTGTGGTGAAGGGACTATCAAGGTGAGCAATTTCTGAGACTCTTGTTTCACTTGTCCGGTATGTGAACATATTCAACAATCTTGTCTTCCATCCCAAATCCTGGCCATTCCTGTGTGCTTATGTGTATGATATTGTCTGTTGTTACACTCCTGTATAAATTATTTTACCTGTTATGAAGTATTTCAGCTATAACTACAAGTATAAAGAGTAAGACAACAAATAGCCACATACCTACCACAAAATTTAAGAAAACAACTATAACCCCCTGGCAATGGGCAAGGAGACACCTGATTGGTGGTGTTGCTCTTATATCAGTCAGGGGCAGAGCAGACCTACAGTCCTTAGTTCATCCTAGCTTGATGCCTGTGTCGGTGGCCAGAGCTGTTTCATGCCTGAGGCACATAAAAAAAAAAAAAAGAAAACAATATATAAAAAAGTTTAATATGCAAAGTGTCCCTGCGGGAGTTTGGGAGACCAGGAGTTCTATCTCTCGCTATGATGTGCACTGACCACCAGGGGTGGTGTGGAACGAAGGAAGGCCCCAGTTGGCAGCCAGAAGGCCCCTGTCGGCCCTCATCACCGGCCAGGCCTAGGGACCCTACCCATGCACGAATTTCGTACACCAGGCCTCTAGTTATATATATAATTGAAGCTACCAGTATCCCTTCCCCACTCACTTTCCACCAAAGGTAATCACTATCTTAAATTTAGTATCTATTATCCCCCTGCATGTCTTTTTACTTTTATTATACACACAGAAAATATTTTTTGCATGTTTTTAAACCATATAAATAGAATTATACTGTATTTTTTAAAAACTTATTTCGTTCTTAGTATTGTTTGTGAGATTTATTTATTCTTGTTGTTTCATGTTGCTAGCTCTGTTCTTTCCATAATGTTATGGATGCTGTTGTATGACTAGTTCACAATTTATCTCTCCTCCTGCTAATGAATGTTTGGATTGTTTCCTAGTTTTTGCTATTGCAAATAATGTTGCAGTGAACACATTTTACATTTCTCTTTGTGAATATTACCAGGAGTTTCCTTAGGGTGTGTACAGGGAGTGGCATTGCCGAGCCACAGAGTCTGTGCATTTGGGCTTCTTCAGCCTTACTAGACACTGCCATTGCCAAATTGTTCTTCAGAGTGATTGTTTCCATTTACAACCCACCAACAGTAAATAAAAGCCCTCATTGCTCCATATTCTTGCTATATGTAACGTTGTCATACTTAGTTTTCAACCTAATGGGTGTGAAATCTAATTTTTTTGCAGTTTTAATTCACATCTCCACAATTGCTAATGAGCTTGAACATCTTTTCACATTATTAGCCATTTAAGATTCCTGTTCTGTAAGTCTCCTGTTTATCCTTTTTTCAAATTTTTCATTTGGATTGTTTACCCTTTTTACTTATTTTTTTTAGAGAGAGAGAAAGGGAGAGGAAGAGAGAGAGGTAGAAACATCATTGAGAGAATCATTGACAGGCTGCCTCCTGCATGCCCCCTACTGGAGATTAAGCTGTAACCCAGGCATGTGCCCTGATCAGGAATCGAACCTGTGACCTATTGGTTCATGGGTCAGTGCTCAATCACTGAGCCACACCAGCCAGGCTCTATACCCTTTTAAAAATATTTTAGTTATATGAACTTTTGGGGGGTTAAAAAATATTCTGGATAGTAATTATTTAATGATACGCATTGCAAATATTCTTAATCTGTTATGGATTGATTTTCCACTTTTTTCTCTTTTTTGTGGTGTCAATTGCCATCATACATTCTTTATGCTGGTAGGAAAAGCAATTCACTGGTCCCTCAGAATGTGATCACTTTCTTATTTGGAAGCCTTTATTCAGGAAGTTTGATTACGTTCCTTCTATGGTCAAGTTTTATGCTGAGAATTAGGGATCCAAAGACAGAGATTTGTTCTTTCCCTGAAATGATTTACAAAAAGTTGAAAGGACAGAAAATGTGCATAAGGAGATAAGGACCAATTTAAACTTTTGCACATATAAAGTGCCTAATGAGACCGGTAGGAATGCCAGAGAGATAAGTAATTGCCAATGTACAGACAGCCTGAGAATGCGTTAAAGAGGTGATGAAATTGAGCTTGAGACTTGACGAAAGAATAGGGCTCACATATGTTGCTTGAACTTCTCATTTAGCAATTAGTTACAAACTATTAAAAAGAATCACTAAAGAGCCAAAGTAGACTTCCTAGGAGAAATCCCTTTGGATCAAAAAATTCTCTCCTCTTTCCAATATTGAAAACCATAGTTCTCTCTAATTGTTCATTCATCTAAAACTTATGATTACACCAAGATGTCTCAGACCCTTGTAGGGATATCTGGTGTTTTCTTGCTGTGTCCTGGGCCTTCTACACCTACTGACCTCTAGAATTGTAGCGCTAGAAAGAATCTTGTGTCACTCAGCTTATGTCATAACAGAAACTCCCTTAGAAGGAACTTTCTTTTACCTCTTTCTCATCCTGTCCCCATCTCCCATCCTAGTGCTCAGGGCACACACATAGTTGGCACCTGTCAAGGAAATACTTGTGAGTTGCTTAATCACTCAGTGTACAGTACATAGGAGGCCTTAAGAAGGTGAGGAGTTAAGCTAATGCTGGCTGTTGAAGCACTTAACACAGTATCCAGCCTACTTGATAATTGTTACAGTTAAATTTTTTATTTATGGTAGTTATGTTCTATAAAGTCACCATAAGCACTAAATTAGTGAATACTGAACCACTGTTCCCAGGGGAAACATGATTAGGTTTCTGTGAGTCTCTGGTCTCAACATTTTCATCAACTGATCAATACATAACCTTGTCTTCTGTGTGTTTCTGTTTAAAGACAATTTATTTAATATATGTTGTTGATTCATTAACATTGAACTCACAGTCCACAGAATTATATAACTCATGTCTGAACAAAGCTTATAACATACATATTTTCTCTGTAAGGCACA